AGTTTTTGATGTCAGTTCTCTTTTTTGTGTTACAGTGGTTGTTGCTCTACGATTGGACGCAGCTCGCTTGTCGTCTACAGTTCAGTGTCCTATCCCAGTACAGCACTCTCACCATGGCACCTCTTCACCCTGTTCATCGTCCACTAACCACTTGCCCGCGGGCGATAGTGCTTCAACGGGTTATGCATTGCAGCATCAAAGCGTGATCTGTCTGAGCTCGATTAAAATGACATATCATCATAGATCGCGGAAGTCCAGTACAACCGAATTGGATTCGGACAATATGGAGCAAATGGATTCCGGGTACCCAGTCCATGCGACTGATGCACTCCAACACCAGCTGTTTTGGTTACCGGAGCTCATCGTGAACGTCAGCAGTGCAGACAAGGTGAGGGCCTTACTTTTGATCCAGGTATCTTCAATAAATATAGGGAGAGGAAGATTTTGACCAATCCAATGTGCGCGTTGGGTTGCGGAGGCAGCCTAAAGCTGTAGTTTTTTCTCAGAAAACTCAAATTATGTTGATCTTGGTGGATAGCTTTTTCATTCTCCGACTGTCGCTATCGTTCTTGTATTTTGGATCGATTTCATGTTGATATCACAAACACACGTCATGAGCCCTGTTTTTTTATTCTGCATGCATTTTACGTCCGTTTCTTGAACACTCACCAGTATAGAATATTTGCTGTAGATTCTAATGATATGGATTTCGTACAAGAAATCCGTCTTAACGATCGGATGGTGTGGAAATCCCGAAGTCAACTAAAGACGAAATTGTCTTGAAATGACACGGTGGTAATCAAGCGGTAAGAATCAAACTATCGCCCCGGAAGATTTGTGTTCTAATCTCACCGGTGCTTTTTGACCTTCCCTATTCTCTGTTTTTTGTATTGCAGCATTTTGTTTGGTCGCTTCTCTATTGCTCAAAAGGATACCATTATTCAATCCGTAAAAAGTTCAGTACCCCACGAAAGACAGAGAGAGATGCTCAGATAGGTTTAAAACAAAGGGCGGTTCGGTTGGAGAGCAAAACCATACCGTTTCAATAGTGGGAAGGTACGCAGGGGAATAACGAGTCAATGAACACGGACAACTGACTATTTTCAAATCCGATTGTGATCACTTGAAATGAAAAGCCTTCCCAGCAGGTTGAAACGTCGTTGCCATCAGGGTGCGGTTTTTTTACGTAATCGTGGTGAGAAATGTTGAACAATTTTTTTAATAACACGGCATGAGTGCGATGCCTTAATTTTTTCAACCATGCTCGTACATTTCGCAGCATTCCACCATTTGAACTCGGTCACCAAGCATGGGCCTAGTTTACATTTGTATGACCCACAGACTGGTAGAACCGTGTACAGATTACGTGATAATGATCCAACGGTCACCAGTTATCCTTCCACTTTTAATTATACTGCATCTCAGACTGTGACAGCAACTTGCCCTCAACCTTTGGAATTCCTTTGGACGCCGGCGCTGCATTTATGCTTGCTCGAGTCGATCAGAACTTGTCAGCAGGCGTCTGCACTCATTTCCCAACTAACTGAACAACGAGACCCATATTCGGTAAGTTTGTTTCTTTTAATTTCATTTTAAAGTCTCCCACACCATTCGCACGAACACTTTCCCCGACAATCGTAACTCAGCAGTAATGATTGTTCGATTGCATATTGCAATGCACGAGGTTTTCCAATCTTTACCGATGGTCTCGACTTCCTTTCAGGCGAGCAGTTCAGTCTTTCTTATTTGTTATGAAGATTGTAAGAACTTCTGTCGTATGAGATACTTCGAGAATTAGCGCTATTGCAAACCAGTCGGTTACTTTTCTCATGGAGGACTTTTCTTTTTTACGTTACCCAACTACTAACAATACCTCTGTAAAAAATGTGGACGCACGAGATTGCCCTCGTCGGTGATCTCCTAATTATCCCGTTTTCGCCTAGGTAACTCTGATATTTTCTAGCGAACGCAGAGCATACCAAATTCTCTCTCAAAAATTTCACAACGCTTTTCTCTTTATGAAGGACTTTATTTAGTCATACACGACAGTCCTAAGTTTCGAAATATGCCCATACTCGCATTGAGAACATAGTTTCAGGCGAACAATTGTTCTCAATAACTCATAATCATGCCGTTACAATTTATATGAGGGGAAAAATCCTAACAGTTAAAAGGAGAACAATAAAATGCGAGGAATCGTTCATTTCGTGTATACGTGTCTATGTTTGTGTGTGTGTTGCGCACCGCATTCTCAGAACTGTGCTTCCGGGGTTTTCAGTTATGTCATGATAGTCGTGTGACCCAGTTCTGAGAGATCGATGTTATTGTGTAAAAATGTTTGTGTGCTGGTATGGGGGAATAGTGGGTTCGTGAACCCAGGGGAGATAGAGAGCTTGGATAGGACGTTTCTGGTACATAGTTCGGGCGTCAAATGCTCAATAAAGATGGCCAACGAACTCATTCTAACGTACCTAATGCAGAATGCTTCACTTGGGTTTACACGATGGCCAGTGTCTACCAAGTGAGAGAGAATCGCACTTATGATAGATCCGCAACCACCTCGACTCTTCCAGCACGGATGGTGTTCTTTCATGCGGATAGATAACTGCCGCGCCGTGCGACCGACGTAAAGTGCGTCACACACGCATCTGGACGAGTAAGCAGTCATTGAAGTGGTCAATGTCAGTTGTTTATCTTTATTCCGTATGGTTATCAATGGCGAACTTTTAAAAGAGCAGCGTAGGTGCGCGGCGTTGAAGGTGGCTTTTACCACTCCATTCAGTCGTCCGATGAGGGAGGGTTTCAGCGGCATCTTCATCCCAAAAGGAAGACTAATAAACAGATCCTTTTCTACCCAATAAATATGTACTTTTCGTACCATCTCCCCTGGGTTCACGAACCCACTCCCCCCTGCCCGCAAACATAAGCATTTTTACACAAGAACACCAATCCCTCAGAACTGGGTCACACAACCGTCGTGACATAACTGAAAACCTCGGAAAGCGATGTGCAACACACTCACAAACACTCATTCACGAAATGAACGGTTCCTCACATTCTATTTTTCTCCTTTCAACCCCTAGGATTTTCCCCCTCATATAAACTGTAACGGCATAATTATGATTTATTGAAAGCAATTGTTCGCCTGAAATTGTGTTGTTTATGGTCCTAAGTCTCCGAGCACTCCGATCATAGTTACATAAGATGTCTAATGTCTAATTCACACACAACAGCGTCTTTGGTAGGCCGTCATACAACGGTTGACAGGAATTGGGAACCAGGGGAACAACAAGTTCGATTTGAGAACCACTGGGAAGCATAACAAAAATAATGTGCGACAACCGAAATTGTTAGAAACGAATGTTTATATAATTGGGGAACTGGTTACATATTCTACTGGGGTCGCAGGGCCCACGCTCGTATGAATTGACACGGAATCAAAAACGCCAGAAGACAACACTGAACACATCTCTTCTCGGGGTAATCGAAATCCCTGTTACATTCAATGCTCCCCTCTCTTCTTCATTTTATTTACCCTGGCCCTGTTTAATATCTTACCTTGCTTTCAGTGCCCCGCGCAAGGTCGTTTTTTTATTCCTCGCCACCCGCTTCTTCAACTCAGTTTATCTTCGACTGTACAAAGCTGAAATCCGCCTTGTCATTGCATAATACAGTCACGTATATGGCGGTGCTTCGTGCTTCATCTGCTCTTTCCCTTCTTGATCGTGTTCGACGAAAGGTTATCCGGCTGATCGATGGTCCTTCCTTTACCTCCAATCTACAGTCACTAGCTCATCGTCGGTAGCCACTTCATTGTCTTTTCTCTACCACTGTTATTTTGGTTTTTGTTCTTCGGAGCTTTCTTTGGTAGTGCCTCTTTCTGTAACTTTTTCCCGCCCTTCCTGTACACAGGCATCTATCGGATTTCGTACTTCTGATATTCTGTTCTCGAACTGACAAGTTGTGGAACACTCTCACTTTAGGTCTTTCCCTCAACTTTAATTCTTTAAATTTGAAATCAATAAACAGGACATGTCAGTGTTCCCTTCCTCTCCCTCACTTTTCATTTCACTAAAATGCTTTGCGCGAATATGGGTAAATTCATTAGTTATGACTGTAACGTAGACTCGATATAACCATAATTGAATGGAGATCTGTGACGGACTCCCTTCTTATTTCATTCCGACCCATTATCATGTTCTCCGTCTAGATATGTATGTATCTGTCCGAAATTTCATTCTTTCCTTTGTCTCTTTGGTGAAACAGTTGATTGTAACAGTCCATTTCGAATAGGGATTTGCTCAATTTACATCCGAAATCGTTTCGCTGCTGTTGCGTATTACAAAACATCATGGAACACTGGATCACAGCGAGCGGAGGTGAACATTTTAATACACATCGTCAAAGTGTGCGTCCATATAACATGAAGGAGAAGAGAGCTGTTCCATCGATTGATCTTACTGCCCTCACAAGAAGCACTAACCGAGATGAAGCCTTTGGCAAAATAGATATGCACTTATTTACCTCGATTGCCCTGATGGTGTGTTGTTAACGGATAATCCTCCTGATTGATGACGTTGAATTTGCCCGATTCGTATTCGGCCATGATCATGTATCATTATTCATTATGTGAATTTCATCACAAGAGGTTCTTGGTTCAAACCGGTTGTTGTTTTTCTGTTTTTTTTTCAGTAGAACAGGTGATTTATGATCCATTTTTTTGTCCACTAAATTTCCACTAAACAGAATTCCGCTCCATAACATGATGTAACTATTAAAATCGAGTAATCGGAATGCTTGCAAATTTTCAGATAAATCTTCTCAGTTTACTTTCTCTTTCAAATCTATAGTTTACGTAGGGACACAATTCAGGGATGCAATTTGTATGTGTTGACTTGATACGTTCCCCATGCTTTTTATGCGCGTTTCAAGTGAAGATTTGATGATATTACTCTGTTGCTGATGAAATATGACGTTTTTGTTTGCTCAGTGTCATCGCCTATTTTTCCATCCCTGTTATACATTCTTTCTATCCAGATTTATCTACTGTCCATTTTAGATCAATCTGGGCTCTGAGTGTGCACAGTTATTGCCACAGGAAACAACAACAACTATCCCCGCGTCAAATCGGTCATTAGCCTGGTTGATTCGCTTTACCGCCACAAAGAGTGTGCAGGTGTTCGTGCATTTGGCGAGCGATGCGCATCAGGTTGCTTTCTGTTTGAAGGCACTCTCGTTTCGATGGGCATTGTCCTCATCCCTGCCCGATCGGAATGCGGCTGCTGTTAACGGTCGCGCAGTTCCATCCAGCCAGATCAAGCTGAGCTGTGAATCGGCCCTGATGCGTTGTGATTCAGAAAATATCGCTGTGTTTAAGGTGAGCACATTTGTTCCTCGGTGTTATCGTGTCTCCAGTTTTCCTGTCACTTTTTGGCCGATGACTCAGCTCTTCTGTTTGTACAACCATTAACCATGCACTTTCTTTTGCCAGTTTTGGTTGCCGTTTTTTTGCTGCCCGTTTGGATGCTTATTAGGAACAAAGCAGGAAGTTGAAAGTGGAATGGTAGAGCAATTTAAGAATTTCGGTGTAATAAGGTTGCAAAGAAATTGAGAAGATGCACGAACGCCAATGTTTACGAGATAGTCATATCACTCAGGGTCTCTAACCATCGGTTACAATCATCCCGAGATTCCCAGCCAGGGACCTATTTAATCCGTCTCCTGGTTAGGGCTTTCATAACCTCGTGGCCGATAACTGATACAGAACTATACCAACCATCCACAGATTACCTAATCCCAACTGCCTAATGCATCGCAGAGACCAGAGTGGTTCGACAGTGATGAATTACCGTGGAATGCATCATCGTGAAACTTTGTACATCTTGGAAAAATGTGCGGTACACCACTGGTCATCGAATGTTGGTGTGTCCAACGGGTTGGATTGAGGGTTGAACATCTTGGGTTTCCGCATTACGTACTGTATTTACCGCAGTCTGACGACATAAAGGGTGCACAGGGAACTGATGTCGAAATGCGTCTTGCTTTGATCACGAGGACATCCGCATACGTTTCATGGAAGTCGTTCTTCACAGGTTTTTGCTCCGGTCCTCACAGAACTCCCGGCTTCCGAACAAAGACTGTTTTTGTTGTGTGTGAACTCGGCGTGTTACAGGATCATAGACCGAACAACATCCGGTTGTTTGCCTCTCCCCGTTGTCGAAAATTATACGCCTGAGTTGAAATCTGAGTGATCACGTGCGCGTACATCAGTACACCTGGTCACTCCGGTGTCGAATAAGGCCTGTGCACAGGTTTCTTCTGCGACTCACCAACTTGTTTAGAGTTGTAAGCAGGTGTAGATCGTTCGCTCCTTTTCCGTTGCCCCTTGTATCAAATGGGTAAACTACATGCACAATGTTTTGGCGATGCCTCATCCGTGTTTTCAGACCATCTAGCCATCAATGATGGACATCTCATTGACATCGAAAACTAAGGGTCCACAATTGTGTAACTTTCCTAAACACAACCACTTGTATTTCAGTTAGAAAGATTGCAAACACGCGTAACATTGCTGTGCATACGAAAAAAAACATTTAGTTCACAGAAAATAATTCACGGTTCAAGGTTAAGCCGGAATGCACGTCCTACCGTTTCCTTGTTTGTGAGTACGCGTGTCAAATACGGCATCGATGAGTTTCGGTAAATGTTCACACGAGATGGTATATTGTCTAAATTACAAAAGGATGGAGAGGACAGCATAGATGTTCGGTGTGCAATGGGTGGTTGGGTATGCACGGATTCTTACCATAACGAAAACACAAAAAGCTATATGACAAACTGGATATTCAGCAATGTTCCCATTTGCGAAAGTTAAGGAAACGCTACTGATGAGCGTTAGAGACCTCTGTAAAACTTAAAAATCCTGTTCATGTTACACAAGAAAAACAATCGAGGAGCAAGCGAAATAGGGAAACGATCCACATGGTATGTAAGAGTAGATAGATACATTCAGTGACAAACTGCATCCAGGAGACGCATTCAACGACTGATGATAACGGAAAGTTAAAAAGTAAGAATTCAAAATCAAAATTTAAACAGCAGCCACTCGCTCGCCATCGATTTGAAAAGACCAGTGAAGCGAAGAATTCTTTTCGATTACTCATTCTCAAGCATCTACATTAATATATGATCACAAGCCGGCAACAAAAGTCATGATTTACAAAATAAACCAAGGTCGGGGAGGGAGGGTTACAGGGTTGTAATCACTTATCTAAGCAGATTGCGTAACACGGTCATTCAGTCATCGTTTGATTTTCTGAACAAAGGTCAATTACGTCATATTGTCGGGCCATGGCACACTCAATACGTAAACGATCCGATTTATTTGATAGATGGTCCGTTTCAAATGTAGAATAACGGATAGCAGAGAATTGCGGCTGTTCATCGATTCGCTCCCGAATTAATAGCAAGCCTTCTTAATAATAAAGCATATTATTTGATACCTTTTTTGAAGGTATCATATATCCAGCGTATCATAAGGGATCGAGCATACATTATTGGGTATTGGAATAGCCGATAGGGGAGTGGTGCTCACTTGATCGAACTTTCATGTAAGGAATTCACCACAGTACCTTTCCAACACAGATCCAAATATTTCTCTTGAGTTCAGATGGTTCATAGTTCACTTGACATCAGCTTGTCATGTGATATATCAACGTGGCCCCAGCGCCTCGGCGTGACAAGAAAACAAGAATTAGTTTGTATCGGCACGAAATCCTCATGGATTCAGAGCAGTGTAAAAATGTTTCTGCTTCCTCTTGTGTCCAGACTGCCAAACAAATCACGGTATAATAATCTTTATAACGAGAGAAAATTCCATGATTTGCTTATGAAGGGAAATTGTCGGGTTGCCCAGGCGAAATGTGGGTGAGATTTCTTGGGAGACTCTACCGGAGCCTTCGGTCTGCCAAATCCTGACCCGAAAGGCAGTGAAGGGGTGTGTGAAAACCGCAATCCATTGGTCGGTATCTTTTTCATCCGGTCATACATCCTTAGGACGGAGTCAAACGTCCAAGGTGCCGCATGCACCTTGATGCAGGTGACCATTGTTACAGCCCGGATGTGTGGGGGTGGGTTCGTACGCTTCTTCTTGGTTGGTTTGGAATCAGGGCTTTTAGTTTACTCCCCCGGTGAATTGCTAGTGGTTCTGATATCCAGTTATAATTTCAGATGTTGGCCCGACGTCCTTTCACTTTGGCTGAAAAGCACCTCCACCACCGGACCGCAATGAGTAGGGCTCCCTCATCAGAGGCTATTTCCGACGCTTCGTCGTACAGGAGCTTTTCGGGAGTTGCAATCGAATTTCACCAGCCATAACCCGAAACACCCATCCCTAACCATACGAAGCCAACGTTTATTAGAAATCAGTCACATCACCTCGATGCGCATGAAGTTTTGGATTGAAAACGTCAAATTAGAAGCCCCATTTGGCTTCCACCGGGGGGTCACAATCCTATTGGCCAGTCCAACGGGGTAATGCTGTTCAATAATCTAGTTATCCTCTCGAAAGTAGAATTTCCCAATGTTACTGTGCAATCATCTGGGCTGACTCAATAATAATAATATTGCTTAGGTACAATGATTGTCATCGGTTACAATTACTGATAAAACCTAGTGACTAGACCAGTGTTGAATTAGTCTTCAATACTGTTCCAACACTTTTCGACACATTGGTAAATGGATCGTGCAACCATGCCTAGTTGTGCTCAATCCATTTTCACTGGCCCTATTTTCGCTTACTATCATGAGCATGGAGTGGATGGGACCACTGGATAGTTAAAGCAGTGCAAGATGTTCCCGGATTTCAGTCTGTACTAGGAAATTCTACTTCTAGTGGACTCATGCTCCTCAATTTATCGAAAGAGTTCTATTAAGACCGTCTGTCGCATTGCACATCATCCTATGCTGACCATAAACAGACCCCATGTATTAGTCATTGAAGTGCCTGTGAGGAGTTCCGGTCTGTCAATTTGCTTCTCCATTTTTTACTACTCTCAAGTTTCAGTCGTTTTTCTTGCCATCATTTTACTGTAATGTGATTCTGGACAACACAGAAACACGGAGAACTGTTTCTATCCCCTCTCTCTTGTTCATTCGTCTCTTTTGGCTCGCACACTGTTCCCGTATTAGCAATTCACTCTGCGACGAAGACCTCACGCTCTCCACCATCGGACAGATTACAATAAATTGGGCCTATTGCGCAAGTGCAATACCGCCTGGTAAGTGTTATATTCTTACTATTCTCGTTTGGTGCTGAATGCGCGTGGGTTCGAATTCCATCTAAACCGCCGATCTTTTCATAATCCAACCTCAAGACTTAGGTCCAGTTGCCAGTCTGAAACTGTTATCGCCAACTCTACTTGTGTTCTTCAGTAATCATCCTAAGAACAATCATCTCTTCACATATTTCAAGCGCGAAATTTACGTGTTTTTTATGTTATCAGTTTCATGAGCTTTACGCTCACACATGCCTCTGGCGCGGGTGTGATTCTGAAGAAGTTTACCGTAAAACTGCAGACTCTAACCAGCGTAGCTTAAAGCTGATTCATCCTATCTGCTGTCCATGAAATGAATGTGACAACGTGATTAATTCCACTTTACGTTTGTTAAAGCTTTAGTTCGTGTGACTGACCTGCGTCGATCAGATATTCTTAACCGTCGATGCGTTGTTGTTTGAGTCAGGTGGGTTTTCAACATCGAGATAATCCGTCGTGTATTTGGGTGTGCCTCGATGGAGAATTCGTCATCACTAGGAATTTGAATGAACAAGTCAAAGCGTTCAATGTGCACACTTACCAATTTCAGTTCAGTTTTCTCTACCATTGCCCATGCACTTTCGTGCGCCGGTTTGGGTTACTGTCTTTTGGTCGCCCATTTGGATGAAAGAGTGGAATGAAGATTGGTGTGTCGAGAAAAAAATCATCCGTAAGATAGAGAATGAGGTCTCAAGAATAATGCGTAGATACAGGAGCTCCATTGTTTGTGACATCCAGCCATATCGCTGCGTGTCTGTAACCATCGCTGACCGTGATTTCGGGGTACCCAGTCAGGGAGCCTAACGGGAACTATGTGACTGAGTCTCACTGGTTAGGGGTTTTCAAACCCTCGTGCTAGGTCTTCGTTTGACCACACTTGGCTTTTTCCATCCACTTAATCGATACCGCTGTCCTCGAACAAGAATAGGGCTGTCTCAAGAATTAAATCCATCACAAAATTAAGTAGAAACGCAGAGAGAGGGCTGCCCTGACGAACACCACGTTCCGTGGTGAACTCGGGCGACACAGTGCCGTAAGCTCGGTTTCGGCCATTAGTATAAAGGGATTGTAATATTGAAATAAATTTCTCGGGCATACTCTTTAGAGTGAGGCAGCTCGAGAGTTTGGAGCGGTGACTGAGTTGGAAGCCGCTTTCAGATCAAGGAAGATGGAGACGGTGGATCTACGAAAGGAAGAGTGAGGGTGTGGTCGATATCACCTCGATCAGATCTGAATGCAGCGTGGTTCTCACAT